ATGTGTTATGGTTTATCAAATAAGCAATAACAGTTTCTTTGGGCAATGGATAAAAGTCAACCACACAAAAACACAAAAAAGAGCTCAATTATAAACAGTCTATAAACAGTCACTAAGTTCGTTTCATGTACTTCTTTAAAGTAGCAGCTTACATTTTTCAGCTATATTTCAGTTTTTTTGTTTTTTTTTGCTGTCATGTTTTTTAGATAGTACTGTCTTAAACATTGCTGACCAAAGACCATTAGAGCAGCTGTTTTGATATTTTATCTCACCGTTGTCATTGTGCCTCTCAACACTGAGGTGAATACCAGAGATAACGTCTAATGAAATGTTTGGTCTTGCCTCGATTTTCTTTCTGAGCTCAACCAGTAAAAAGTCCAGGCAGTCAGCATCTATTTTATGAACTATTGATCTATAGACAGAGTCACCATACAGTATATCCATTTTCCAGATGTGTCCTGGCTGGGCTTTCTAAATTACCTAAAATGTCTGTGTTTGTTTACCTATTGTTTTCATACTCGCTAAAGGTAATGACCAATAGTGCAGGCATTGTACTTAATCAACCAACTGTGGCGTTCGAGAAGGTGGGATCTTTAGAGAATGATCAAAGCAATACAAATACATCTACACATAATGTATGAGGGCTGAGGACCTGTCAATGGGTTATAAACAGATTTTACAATTCTTTTGAATTCACAACCAAATGCCCAAATTGTATATACATTTTATGCCCAATTAAGAATTCAGGTAACTGTGTTGTGGCAAAGAGTTTTAAAAGAACAAACCACCCTGTCATGAAGATTATCTGTAAACCTTGTGTACAATCCTTGTGAAAAATATGTAGCTCCTAATTGCAAATAGCATCAGAGTTTATGTAATACTTCTGTGTACAAAATGGCTGTAGTACCCAGATGTAGCTTTCTATTTAACAACATTGATTTTGTCTCTTCATATTGCTCACCTACTGCACCCCCAACCCTTCTCTGTGTGTCTCTCACTCTCTGTAGGTCTTCCTTTGTTAGCCAGTGTTCTACTTCAGTGCCTGTCCTG